CACTAACAGAGGACTTAGGTGTAAAAGCCCTGATCATAGCTTAGCTTTACCCATTTAAGCAGGAAAATCAAATGCCACAAAACTATTTATGTGCATAAAATAAGTATATCTGTAAATATCTGCAAGATCAGGCCTTAATCAGTAAAGTACAACACAGAATATTACGTACCTAGCATCAAATGACAGCATACTATATTGCATCATTAAAAATATAGATTTAACTATATTTGCTTTTTAACACCAAGAGTTTTTAAAATATTCTTTGTGGAATACTATGTATCACACAAAAGATGACTTGTAAGAACATTTATGAACATCATTGCAACTAAAAAGACAATTCTTTACCAGCTACATAAATATCAGATGAGAAGGGACATCTGCTACAGGACTTTGTAACATTCACACAGCTAATACCCTACATGGAGCTTTCCTGTTTTGTAGGAAAAAAGCAGTGTTGGAAAAGATTACACTCACTGATACATAGATGATTTCTGCAAAAAAAAAAGGAGTTTCAAAAGTAAACTCTCAACCACTAGTACTAGTAAAATAAAAATGGACTTCTGAAACGCCAGCTGTCAGTGAGAGACAGAACAGATACAGATTCATTTTAATTATTTTACTATAATGTGAATGGGTTTAATGAGGCATTAAATGCTTTAGAAAAGGTAGAAACAGTATTATAATATATAATTAACCAACTGCACATTCATGGTGCAGTTATTAAATATTAATGTTTGTTACGTAGCAAAGGAAATAAATTCATAGCTATGCATTTCTGTCTTGAGAAGAGTTGCATGGCCTCTGACTACATCTATGTTTTATTTGCCCTCTTTGCATAAATCTACAATCGTAATGTTTTTCAAAAATCTGGATATTGCCTTATTGTTTAACACTCGGTGATTTGATGTGGACTGGTAGTTCAGCTTAACACATAGACAAAGCTATTAATAATTTGGAAAGTAAAATAAAACTGAAAAAAATTACACCTAAACAAATTCAGTTCTTGTTGGCCCATGGCACTAACTCAACTATATTCAGTTTTTAAACACACAAATATTACATGACTTGGTCTGAAAGAACAGCTTTACCTGTCTACTGTGCTTCCTGCCCTAAGGAAGAATACTGTTTGCTACCTGTCCCGGTTTTAAAAAGTGTCCCATTATACTTCTGACGGAAGGATCTCACCCATGTGTCCTTGACATGGTGACAGCAATACTTCTAAACACAAATATACACCAGAATCTGATATTAACTGATAATTAACTGATAGTGTTATTAACTGATAGCACTACTCCCAAATAGCTGGTAGCATTTTTCTCAAATTCCAACATCTGAAAAGACTATAAAACTATATCCAGCTCCTACTATGTTTTATATAATTCATGACAAATGAAAAATTTATTTATTTAGCTTCTAGCTGTCAAAGTCATGAGGACATGACACTGAGGAGACAGCAAATCATGTTACAGAACAACCACGGAGAGCTTCCCTTTACCCACAGCCCTGCACACATTATCACAAAAGTGCAATTAATATGCTTACTGACTTGCTAATGTTCGAGCTACAAAACTGGTTCGGATATATCAAGTCCATCAACAGGTGATAATGCCAGTGCTAATACTGCAATCCGATTTCATGTGGTATAATGTAATTTGATGTTTTGGTGCTAATAATTTGAATCTACAAGGAGCAATGCATGCCTATGAAGCGCACATACATTATAGGAGATTCACAATCACTTTCCCGTACATCATTTTCTTATCCATTTCAGGAGGTACTTTGCATCATTCCAGATATATTCCTTTCCCCATCCCAGTCTTGCCTAAACTCAGAGGGTCAGGATCAGTGAGTAAGCAGATGCAATGTATTTAGGACAAGTGCAGAGAAGCATTCACATAGTGATTCTCGAGTTTTGTGTCAGAGGATAAGGATTTTCAAAATAATTTCCCCCAAATCCGTACAATTACCTGAAACCACCAGAAGACAGGAAAGCTTAAAACACTGTAACAACTATGATGCAACCTCAACTTGTTTTGTTGTCAATAAGGAGAAAAAAATCCTGTAACTACGACAATATAATTTTTGTTTCAAATGTATCAGCAGAAAGTGTTCATTTTCGTTGCTCAGTTTTCCAAAAACACTCAGAAAATGAAAAGGACTCAGAGCAGCAGCAATAAAAACTTACAAAGATTTGGTTAGTTTTTGTTCTATAGAAAACTTGTAAAACATAAGACACTGATGAAATAGTAGAGCTCTCTAGCTAAATTAGTTTCAAGATTTGGAGACTTACTTGTGCAATTGTAGATACAAGAGGGATAATTTGCTTTAAGTTAAAAAAAAAAAAGGAAGACTTGCATCCTGCAGAAATTGAAGGGCTCGTCTGGAAAAGCTTCCTATTCACGACCGGTTAGTTAGAGGATTTTCTAAGCCTTGGAAAGACTGAAGGCATGGACCGGGAAGTATTATAAAGCATTTTTATGACAAATTCAGCTTTTTCCATCATATATAAATATGACGTATATAAATATGACTTTTCTTGGATCTCGTTAGAGTAAACTGCTCTTACATTGCATTAGTGTTTTGATCACAGTGAACATATTACAAAATAAAAAACACATTTGCCCATAAAAACTACAGCAATCATAATATCCCAAAGAATACTATTATATTGTTACTTTATATGAATTTTATTGCAGAAGTTTTCTTACAACATGCCATGTTGTTCTAAACACTCCCTGCATTTCCCCAATCCCCTAAACACATGCAAGTTATTAAGCCCACAGTGTTCTGCAATAACACAGCTTGAGATCATCACAAAGATTAATAGTTTTCACCAAACTTCTGATTGAGTCTGACTTCTAAAAAAATATTTACACTTAATTGTTGAAAGTACTCCTACTAATATGAAGATACCGGTGAGAAAATTCACAAGTACTTGTGAGATAAGGATCCCACATAGAAACTGTAAGGATCATCTCAGTGATCCATCTTGCTCTGTATGCTGCTTTGAGTTTGTACCAAATACTAAAGAGGAATAGGAAATATGCTCTATAGTGTTATGAGTCAACTCAGCTCCATCTGAAGTTTCAACTTCGTCTTCATTTAGTGGCCATCTTACGCTATGGAGTAGGAAAGTATTGTTAGTATGGATATTTTATGTTTATAGACATCTATCTAATGTAAAGATGCTGGACTTGCTGTCAGCACTTTCTCAACAGTTTTGATTTAGAATAAATATATCACTAACAAATATAAAAATGATTAATGATGTTTAGAGCAGCTCTATAGCAACATAATATTTTCATTCAGTGCTGCAAAAAATGACTGGTGGCTTTTTAGAATACCTAAACTATAAGAACTTGAAATAGCAAAAAATAACATCTAATTAAGTTAGTAATTACTGTAAATCTGAAGATAGGTTCCTCTTTTAAGATAATAGCTAAGATGCCAGGTGGAGACTGTCAGTGCTTTACTAAAACCAAAAGATTTGATGACTGGTCCTTAATGGAGCAGATGGCCATGGATGCATAGGCAGAGCCAGAAAGGGATTTTGTTCTCTCATCTGTTCAACTCATTTTCATTCTGTTTTCGACTGCGCTGGCAATCTCAGCCTGCCATACATCCCGGCACTCCAAGTGCCCATTGATTCCAGACAGACTGCTCAAAAAGCAGACAGAAGACAGGGACCATCTCAGCAATCCCACTGAAAACATGAGAAGCCGTTTTGTCTCTTAGTCTTGGGGTTTTTTGCCTTTGTCTGTCTTCTTCTAAATGAATATTTAGGAAATACACAGTGTGTTCTCATTTCAAATAATGTAGAAAAGGTAAAAAAAATACACTTCTTGCCTCTGATGACTGAAATGACAGACAATAAAAGATCGGTGAGATTCACTAGTAGTATTATCTTTCCACTTCCTTCAGCTTTTCAAGCAACGCTTATTGTTAAGTGTAACTGTTAAAACACCAGATGAATTTAGAGGTATTTTACAGCCATGATATATAATTTTATATTCATAGACAGGACAACTCCACTCCTGCGGAGTAAACTACTGTTCGAAGTGGAACAATTCTGGAACTGTATTTAACAATGGAGCGTTACTGACATGTGACTGATGAAAATAATGAGGAGGAAAAAAAAAAAAGTTAGTTTAAATTGGAAGCCAGTTACAAAGACCTATAGAAGAGCCCTTCTGATTAAAATAAAAATAAATTACTAAACACGTCATCTAAGATGATCACAGAATCACCGAATGGTTGAGGTTGGAAGGGACGTCTGGAAATCGTCTGGTCCAACCTGCTGCTCAAGCAGGGCCACCTACAGCAGGCTGCCCAGGATTATATGTAACAGACCAAGAACTGAGGAGGCTTACAAAGATGTCTTTGTGTATTTCCAAGCAAAAATTCTGCCCAAGCTGAATAATATTTACCTATTTTTATATATCCGTATATACACACATGTGTAAGTAAATATAAAATAAACAGTTCTGCTTAGCTCCTCTGCAGCAAATTCTGCAAAAACAAAGTAGTATATGCTCCATGACAGAGAAGGCTCAGGAGAGAAAGGATAATGTGATAACTAATCTACAAATATTTGACAGATAGCTTATTCCAAATGAAGACAAGATATGTGTATTACAGGTAAAAAGCTCAAAGACAAAATTTGTAAAGTTACAATGTAGATCAACTACCAGAGGAAACTGCCTTATAACAGATCATTGAATGAAAGAATAGT